GCGACTCGAATGGATCAAGTAGAGTAAGTGAGTTGGTCTGCGCATCGTGGATTGAGTGGAGTAGGTTGTGGTGTGCCTGAGTGAGGGCGTGCGTGAGCGAAGGTGTCGATGTAGAATTCCTCCCCTCTCATCCCCTCTCCATCTCCCCCCAGCATGGGCGTCTGGCACGCTCTAGATCCCAGCAAGCCTGGATGGGAATCAGCCCTCGCTGCTTTCTAAAAATGCTGCAAAACGCCGAGGCAAGACTATTCTCACTACCAGCTCCGCAGTCTAGAGTCTAGAGCCTAGAGGAGCCGCCAACCCAGCTCTCAAGCGCTCTCAAGCACTGGCCGGCCCGTGAGGAATGAGGCCTCCAGGCTTCTCTCCGCGTGGCTGAGCTTCATGCGCAGCTCCTGCGCAGGCACCACAGCGAAACTCCCCTGCGCCCTGTTCTCCCCATGCAGTTCTGCACTTAAACCTCCCCACTTGCCTCTGACTCGGCATCTGCTAGGGCCAGCTTCGCATGCAAGCCTGCAACTTGGCTATGCCGGTGCGAGGGCTCATCAGAATTCAGGTTCTGTCGGCTCCAGGTTGGAGCCACTTCTTGCCAAGTAACACTGGTTCTCAGCGGCCAGCGAGTCGTTCTCCTTACTTTACTGCACATGGTACACACATGAGTCCTATCCTATCGAAATTGTTTAGGCGCCGGAATCGACACTCTCTGCAGTCTTTGCAGCCCAGGCTCGCGGGCCATGTCCGAGAACTTTTGCGCGTGGTCCTGCAGCCAGTTCCATCCAGGGAAGGAGTGCCCCATCTCTAAACCACCTGACCCGATCACTCTCCTCCTTAAGCCGATTCAGCTCCAGCTCTTTCTGGAACTTTGCCTCCGTCATCTGACGCAAGGCCTGAGCGCTGCCATGCGCTGCCGACGCCAAGGCCCAGACCCTTCGGACGCTTCAGCTAAAACCCTTCACCCCCCCCCACCCCGGTTCCTCTTGCAGGACATCCACGCGCGAGGGGCCTTCGGATGGCGCTTTGGCCTCCTGGCCGCCCGGACCGCTTGCAGAGCACGACAACTGAAACGCCAGCAGTAAAAGAGGACTCAAACATGCTGTCTTCTTCGATCCTTGGAAGGAACTCCCGGGCAAAGTGCTGGTGAAGGAGGCCTCAGACTCCCGAGTTCTTTCACTGTGCGCTCCTGCTCTCTGTTTCATGCTTACTTGGGAATGCAGGAATAGGTTTCGGGGATCACCGCAGAGATGAAGTCATTCCTCACCAAGTATGAAACCACACCCTGCTTCCACCGGTCTTCTAAAATCTACGACACCGTATCACAACAACTCAACATGTCTCAGAGGAAGAGGTGCTTGCGCCACAGAAATCTCAAGCTGTCCTCCAAAAAACCCTTTATACAGTACCATTCTCACGCATGCTCCGCAATTTGCTTTAAGACGTCAAGCCGGGTCTTGGGTCTTGCTGATTGTTGGAATTCTTGTTACTTATTCGCGTGGACTGCTCAAAAACCACGCAACCGACTTTGCAAAGGACCCAAGCTCAACCAGAAAGTTCACCGCACACCTTCCAGCCGGCTAGAGCTGCCAAAAAGAATTCCGGCTTGCCCCTCCAGGGCCACGGCCGTACAGCAGATGGGCCCGCCCTCGCCTCATTCATTGTTGCTGACACCAAAACTCCCTTGCATCATCTTGCATCAGAGTCCTCGCCTGCTTCGGTGGGCTGAACTCCACCTCAGAGCCGGGCACTCCTTCCCTCACAAGGATACTATAGGACGGCAAAGGCTCCAGCCACATGGCCGCCGCGGACGCGCGGGGGCGTCATCGACTGAAGCAAATGAAGCTGGTGAAGCAGCAAAGCTACCCCTCCTACCTGAAACCACAAGCAAGTTACAGACCAAGACCTCGGCACGAGGTGTCCCTCGCTGGCACGTGTGCGCCACGGGCACCTGTAGCACTGAAGCACATCTCATCGTCACATCCGTGGTTGTAGCATAAGCAGAAGAGTGCGCTTGACGAGTTTCCGCTGTGGAACGGCTAACCAAATCCCAGTGATGCAAGCATGGCCCGGCCCAGCCTGTGGCCGGGCAAGCGGTGGCCGAGACGCCGGACGGCCTAGAGCTGAGGCTTCTTAGGATGTAGCGGCTCTCTCGCACGTTTTCAGCTTGCACGAATCCTTTCCGAAAAGATGACAGCGATGCCCAAAGCATGTTAACAGAGCAGCAGCAGCAGCAGCAGCAGCAGACATACTCAGAGCTCTGACGCAGGTGCTTTGGGACGATGACAAGAATGGTGATTACAGATGCTTGCGGAACAGTTGCAGCAGCAATGGAACAGAAGTAGCTGTCAGCAGCAACGATGACAGAAAAATAACATTGAAGCATGATCGGGCCCTTTCTGAGAGCTCCGCCATCGCAGGATGCAGCTCGCACCCTGGTGACCTCAGACCACTTCGTGACACCGCACGATGAAAGACAAGTTCTGGATCAGCGTGCATTGCATAAGCGCTCCATTAGGAGCCCGACACTCACAACCCGTGCTGGCATCTGCGTCTTCACATGAATTGGCGACCTCAACCCGGGCGTGTTTCGAATTCCGAAAGGCTGCCACAACGCGGCGGAGCTGAAAAGCTGGCAGGCGACTTGCAATTCTTCTGCGGGATTAGGGCGGCCAGTGGCTGCCACAAGTTCATCCCAAGACCCACAAAAACAGCTGTCGCATGCTGTCACTCTGGGGCTCAGGCAGCCAGCGTGTAGGACCTGACGCATGCACCACCCGCTTCAGCCATATGCAATGATGCAAGGTCACCGATGGTAGCTGGGCCTTGGCTGGTTGAGCGCCACACCAGCCGTCCCTCAAAGCAAATATCAGCCGCTTTTCGGCGTCCAAACACTCCTCCAATGCTTGGCATAGCTGGGTGCCGCCAAGTAGCCCTCCTGGGTGTGGCGGGAGTGGCCATGGCGGCGCGCGGAGGAAGATTCATCTGCATTGCACACCAACTAAAGAGGCAAGCACCCCTTTTGATCTGTACTTCTCAAATGCCATGCAGATCATACAAAGGGAGTCATGGTGCTAGGACATGGTGCTAGGCTTTCGCACTCATCCAATTCGACATAATTCGACCATACACGCTCTTACAGAAAGCCTCTCTGCTCTCAGAGCAGTGGACGCTGTGTAGATGCGAAGGCGTCTGGAGATGCAGTTCAGGATGTTCCAGAATGTTCCGGGCTTCCGAGTCAAGCTCAAGCAGAAGTGCTGCGCGTTCCATTGTCATGAAAGCCAAGCCTGCGGCCCATTGGGCTCTCAAAGCTCTTAATTATTAAAGGCCCGCAGTTTCGCATGTTTCCAGCTACGCCATCTCATCTTGAGCATTTTGCTCACTCATCGCCGCCTGCACTTGCAGCTCACGCGCTTGCCTGAGTCGCTGCTGCTTTCTAGCACACAGGAGCTCCTCGTTGAAGCGTACGATCCAAGTTTTAGGTGCTTGGTACATCATGGTACAACCCTGAACTTCAAAGGAACGTGAGCAAGATGGTTCGGGTAATCCCGCTTTCCATACACAAAAAGCAGCATCTGCAATCTTCATGTTGTTTCTAGGTCAAGGTCATTAGAAAATTGATCAGTGTGCTATGTTTTTTGAAGTTGCGCGGCAAATGTTGGCGTTATTGATTTTGGTGGTTGCCTTGTCGTTTTCCCATCAAAAAGCCTCCAGCAAGCAGGAATCTGATGTCCATCCTCTCAACTGCGCATCACACGCATACACCGCCTTGCACCAATCGCTCAGCGCATCTGAGCGCTCTGCACAAGGTTTACCCCATTTGCTTGGCCTTCGACGGAAATTCAGCAGCGTGTGCGCCAGGCCCGTGGCTGGGTTACTCTTACTCTAGACTCGACCTGGCCTGGCCGATGCGGAAATTTGTGAAACCGACAGATTCTGGCGTGGAAGCCTGGAACAGCTTGTGACATGATATCATAGATGTCTGTTGGTGCAAATGTTGAAAACTTTCATTCACGAATCTCCGAATGGATCTTGTCTTGACTCCCTGAGGCGAACAGCCTTCGAAACAAGGGATCCGACGCCCAGCGCGGTCATGACCTAAGGCTGGGTGCTCGGGCTGGGTGCTCGGGCTGGGTGCTCGCTCCCAAGTGTCTGTGAGTGCTTGGAGACCCAAGAGCACAAACGCGAGCTTTGCCGAGTTTTCTGCATTAGCTTCCGTGGCTGCTCTCCAATCATGTCGAGTGCACATTCACAATGACTCAATGACCAGAACAGCCTCGTGGCACAAACCCCTGAGCCCCCAGCTCGTGGCATGCATTGCAGCGCAAAGCGGTATTCGCCTTGCGCAAGGCCTGGTCAAAGGTAGAGCAGAAATCATCGCTTCCAGCCTTGCATGCAGCCTTGCAGCCTCAAAGCTTTGGAGGCTGCTAATTGAGGACCCACTCCACCATCTGCTTGGAGAGCTCCTCCAGGTGCTGGCGGATGTCCTCTTCACCCATGGCGCCTCACTCTCGTCAACAGGCACACACGTCAAGCAGGCCGAGTCGCATGTATGAGCCGGGCACAGGCTTGCGCTCAGGCTCGGTGTAGAAGCTCTCAACTTGAGCCCCGATGATGCTGATGCACAGAACTACAGCTACTGCACGATCCAAGCGCACTTTGTAATCTTTGCCCACGCTTGGATTGAAGCTGATGCAGCGCGACAACGCTACTTTTGCTCACGTTAGCCACCCAATGCTCCCGGACCTCCCTTCCAGAGAGAGATCAGCACTGGTCTTCCGTTCAACTGACCAAAAAACTGGAGTCTGGTTTTGGGCGCTGGATCTGTCGTAAGGAGCGCTCTGCGACTAGCTTACCAGAGTGTCGCTGCATGGAAGGCTGTGCTGCATCGTGCTGCCGCCTTACAGCATTCTAGAGCCTGGTTGCCCAAAACCAGCGATTTGGTTCTACGACTCTTCATTTGCCCTTTGCATTGAGGCGCACACGGCAACTGCTGTCCGCTGCGAGGCCAGTCATGCCTGCACAAGTCACAGGAATCCCAAGCCGCGTAAGTGATCACGTAAGCAAAGAGGCACTCCAAGGCTCTGAGCACCAAGCATCGCAGCGCTGACGCTTTTCGGCTTCTGCATGCAGACTCCCAGGAGATTTGCCTTCGCCGTGCGCCCATCTTGCGATGGCACCGGCAGCCCATGGCAACTCAGCCCCGCACGCTTCAGGCTAGCATCGCACTCCAGTGAATGCTGCCTGAGACGCAAATGGCACAGCAAGTCCAGCTAGCTTGGCAGTCTGGAAGACCCCATGCTCGCAGCTGAACTTGGGAATCGGCAGGACTTCCAGACCACAACCCTGGCCATTTAGAATGCTGGTAGTGCCTCGGCCACCACGCCAGCATCTTTCCGAAGAAGTCCTACACTATGTAGCTGCCCAACCATTCTAGGTGGCCAGCTGATGGTCTTCTTCTCCAGCGTGCGATACAGCACTTCATCCAGCGTTCCTTTGGCAATGAGGTAATGCACCTGGTCTGGCGGATTCCGAGACGAACTTCCAGCAGTGCTGCTGTGCCCCCGACGGAAACACAGTCCCGCTGCCCGATACGATGTGCTCGGTCCTCAGCTTGCTGCATCTGGCCAGGCACCTCAGGACAGCTTGGAGGTGTTGCTGCGGGCTGTGGCGGTTTGTTGACACGGTCTGTGCCCTGACACCAGCGCACCCAGTAAAGCTCTGCAAAGACCACTGTCTGCGCAGCCTAGGCATACGAGCATAAGGCCACTCCGCTGGCTTTCTTTGTGTCGAGTACACACAAGCAACACGAAGCAAACAGATCTGAGGCAGCTTCCGTGAGCGTGAGCCCGGTTCCTGCGGCGGTGATGCTCAGCACGGCAACTCGGACGGACTCCTCCTCATCTGTCTTAGGATTTCAATCCAGCTCTCAAGGAAAAGTTTCCCAGTATTGCTTGCCTCTTGAAATTTTGTGACGAGGCTTGGTCGCTCCGACGCGGTCCTGGCATGACGGTGTGAACCAGCCCCTGTTGTTGGGATGCCAAATCAATCTCAGCCGAAGCAGCGTGCGGCCATCAATTCCTCACCCCAAGGCCAGTCAAGGCAAATTGTCTATCCAAGCATCGAACATGCGCATGTCGGCAGGAAGCCAAGTCTCTGATGTGTCCATAGTGGGCCCGCTGCAGCTTCTGTTCAACCGCCTCATCACATCATCACCATGTGATTCACATTATCTGTACAGACTGCTGTTCCTATCTCCGACACATATGTTTCATGCCAGGCGCATCCAGGACCAGATGGTGATGACCTTGGAATGGACAGAAAGTGGAAGCTAGCGGCTTCGGCACGGAGTGAGGCAAAGACCGAAGATGAGGAACTTCGTCCCCAAACTGAGCAAGTGCTCAACCTCACTCTGGCTGTGGATCCGTGTGCGAGGAGAGTTAAAAACCCCAAAACCTTCAAAGAGTCAACGGCCAAGATCCCTGCGTAGTCAAGAACCGAGGCCAACTTGGCCTGCCAAGTGCCTACAGTGGCCTACAGCCTTTACAAGTCCAGAAGAAGCACAAAGCCTCTCACAACTCACAACATGTTTTGTTTTGCATAGATCCTGGCACGTGCGCCTGTAGATGATGCAGTTCTTGCCACGTTTGAAAAGAAGCACAAGTAATGAAGCATGTACCACCCTACGCAGATGCTCAAGATGACTCGTTCGTCTCCTTTGGCCTCTGCAGTGAGGCGGAAGAGCTGCGCAGAGTCACCCAAAGCCTTCCACGGTAGGCTAGGGCTAGAAGCCTAAACATCGGGAGCACCAGACTCACAAAGAGCAGAATGATGCAGCATTCAAAATTGCGCAAGTTGCGTACATAAGCGCTTGCAAACAGACTGTCCAACGACTGCCCGAGCGTCATAAATCGAACACACTGGCTTTTTCATCCAACTACAGACCCCGCTATCCGGAGAAGCCAAGACCCCTAGCTAGCGGCTAGCTAGTCACTCTCCTACAACCTGCCTTGCCAGAGTTGAAGTCAACGGGTCCCATCTGGCGGCATCGCCTCATGAAGCTGGCGGCTTGCAACAGCTCAACTGTAGGCGCCCTTGCAATCACAACATCCTCATAGAGTAAAGAGGGTCAGACACAACAGGCACCAGTTGGGCTGCTGAAAGATGGGATTCCAAACCCCGAGCCCTGGCTTTGTAGGCCTCTCCACCTCGCGAAGGATGTCCTGCAGGAGGAACTGCTGCTGCTGCCGGAGGTGGTGGCAGTGATGGTAGCAGCAGGGCAGCAGTAGGCAGCAGACAGCAGCAGCAGCAGCAGCAGCAGCAGAAGCAGCAGCAGCAGCAGCAGCAGCAGCTTCGTCAGATTATCGGCGGCTGCAAAGCCAGTCGTGGTGGAAGTCACGTGAGGCAGACAGTCAGGCCTGGTTCATCTTTTCAGGATCCAAAGGTATGCGCATTCGGCGCTTCTCTGGAAGCCTGGCTATGGGGCGGAGACTTTTCTGTGCTGTCCTTAGCTGATTGATAAAAATGATCCCTCCCCTCACCCCCGAGCATCAGGCTGCTGTAAGACGTCTTTCTTCAGGCGCCTGGAGTGCGATCACTCTTCTCTACGGAGGAAGGGTGGGCAAAGAGCACCTGATCATCACGGTGCCCAAGAGACCTCAAGCTGACAGGATTCTCAATAGTAATAGTAACTAACGATAACAATAACAATCATCCGAATAATAATGAGAACAGGAGTCGTAATAGTAATAGTATAATAGAAAGCAGAATAGAAGTAATAACATTCTTTGTCACTATGAGCAGCTGCAAAACTTAGGCCTGAGCAATACAGTTCTTCTGGACGCTGGACTCCGTTCCACTTGACTGTTCTGCGACCATTGAAGCACTGCATCCTTGGCACGCTGAAGAGGAAACTTGAAAACGTTGCTGTACCTGTAGCGAATCACCTGGAAAAGCAAATGGAATATGAACTGGGCACTCCTGCCGTATCTTTTCGATGCGGACATCATAACATTGTGCAAAACACAGTTGCTAGCATTATTCCGACTGCGTGTCATACACTGCCAGCCATCTTGCTTCTAGAACAATATCAGCCTCTTACGTTCCAAAATCCCCTCTGGCTGAGCTCCGCACTGCTTATAGCAGAATCGCTCGGCAAACTGCGCAAAGCTGGGCATCTCCGCAGGCAGCAAGGCCTTGCGAAGCTGGGGCGAGGTGTCCAGGCAGACATAGTGTCGGCTGTCGAAACAAACAGTAGGGTAATATTGGGGTTATATTGGGTAATATTGGGGTTATATTGGGTAATATTGAAGTTATATTGGGATAATGGAAAAGAAAATGGAAACTACTATTTACGGTTTATTTAGGGTTAGGGAAGCAAAGATCACCCCTTGGTGCGTCGTTACAAGGAGGATTTCTTTGTTGGGGTACATAGGGGGAACCTCTGCATGAAAGATACACGTACTGACCACAGCTATGAAAGATGTGAAGGGCAACAAGGGTAACGCGGACGCGATCGGAATACTGGGTTGCTGTTAAGGAACTTAAATTAAGTTACTATATTGGGGAAACCCTATTATTTACTATATATACCCATGATGGTAACTTAATTTAAGTTCCTTAACAGCAAACCAGAATAGCCTGGCCTCAAGCTGCGTATAGAGCTCCGCGGCTCGATTTACAGTCGGTGTCCCACCTGAGGCCCCAAAGAGGTCGCGGATATTGCTTGGGTAGCCATCACCTTAAGGACCTGCTAAGAACTGCCTTGATGAACTCCCATTAAAGAGTTCCTTAACACCTATGCCGCCGTCTTCGAAGGTTTGGTCTGAGGAGGGCTCAGGGTTTAGGGCTGTTGGTAGATTTCTGTCGTGGAATTCGGAGAGGCAGCACAAGAGTCAAATACTTCTGCACGACCAGCTCATGAATGATGACTTAGGACAGTTTCAATTCGGACAGGGTTCAAGCTGATTATCAGGATATGAGCTGCTGCCCTTGTAAAGGCACCACCCTCCTCAAGGCAGCACGGAGAGGCATCACGTGTCAGTCAGGATTGACCACAAGCATTCACAGTATCTTATGGGGACGTCTTGTGAAGGCTGGTTACTGATGATCAGCTGAGCCAGCGTCTCAGCAGCAGAACGCGGCGAGCCGCCTTGCAAATGCCAACCTCAAGCCGCTTTGAGGTCAACTTCGAAACGCTGTGGGCCCTCGCTTCATCTGGGTGGCGGCTGAAGAAACTTGAACTAAGATCCTGAATCAAATTATGATGAAGTGATACTGCTTCAAGAAGGTTCCCTGACAGCCACTCAGTCATGCTCAGGGAGGCACCACCACCTTTGTCCGCTGGCTTGTAGCCTCCTTTTTGCAAGCCGAAGATTCAGTAAAATTGCATCTCACCATGGCTTCAGGTCGAACATTCAAGTTGCTCGTCTACATGCCCTGAATTTTGGTGAATCAAATCTGTCACTGGCCTTGATGCTCTGGGACTCATCAACGATAACGGTCAGGTAGTCGCGGCCTAGACCAGAAAAATTCTCTTCCGACTAGCTCTCATTCCATGTAGTTTCATTGAATCTGATTGGCTTGCATCTGTGGTAACGGGGATGAAGCTCTTTGCTGCGCTGCATTCCAACTCAACTCGGCTCCACAACACGCCAGAAGCTCCACCCTCATACAGCTATCGAGCTGCTACTGTAATTTAACCCTACCTAGTGGCACCCGTTGTTTTGGAGTGACAAGAACCCAAGCTCCAAAAGTTGCAGAAGCTGAGCCGAGGGCCATCAGCACGTCGTCGCAATGATTCGCACCGACGCAAAAGGTCGTATGTTGCGACCTAGCAAGTTTCGAAGCTTTTGGCCCAACTTGCCATCTGTACCATTTTGCTCTCTTTCACTCCCAGAGACCTGCCGGGCTCCGAACCACCACACGCGCGCACTTGTCGACCCTGTCCTTGCCGGTCCTGCCAAGGACGAGAATCCTGTTGCCAAACAGCTCTCTCAAGGGCAATGCCATCCACAACATTACTTTCATCAACAAGCGGACCAGTTACCCTGAGTTCATGTAAACATCCCTGCCATTCCTCATTCCCGTAGGTGCCCCTTCTGCACCCTTTCAAAACCTTGCCAAATTTTGCCAAATTTTACGCCCTAAATCCTATACCCCGAATCCTAAATCCTAAACTTGAAACCTAAATCCTTCCATGGCAAAAAAACTGCCCAAAGCCCCCGGCCTGATCACTTGAACTTGGCCGCCCTCGGCCCCCACCATGTGAGGAAGCCACTGTGCAGCCTACTTTAAGGCATAGGGCTTGGGGCTTCGGCTTAAGGCTCAAGGTTTAGGGTTACAAGAGCCATGGCTACTTTCATGTGAGCTACAGGGGCTTTAGGGATCATGGAAAAAGAAGATGGAAAAGAAGATTGAATGGAAACTGGGATTCTGCAGGAGATGATAAGGATGGATATTTTGCAGTTGATTGCTATCCCAATGAGGAGAGCACATGGAACAGAAAATGGAAGTTGAATTGTATAATTACCGGCAATGATAAGATCCCCATATACCCCATAGATATACCCTATCACAATATAGTACTTTCCATTGTCTTTTCCGTTATCCCTGTATAACCCCAATATTGTATCATGGTTCATACGGATTTCGAGGAGAAAGTTTCCGAAGATCCGGGGCCATGGCTTTAAGTTCTCGCTGTTCGATTCAAAAGGCAACCCCGGAAGCACATTATGAGGATCTCTACACGAAAAGCAACCCTTAGTTAACCCCAATATATACCCCATTATATCAGAGTTGTGTCCGTTTTCTTTTGCATTATTCCTATATATCTCCTATACCCGCTCGAAGTTTGACCTGAAGTGTATTGGAGCCCGACTCTCAAGAGCTGGGCTGCGGAGAGGCTTCAAGAAATGGTGGTTTCCCAAAGTAAGGGGACCCCAATGTAACCCCAAAATACTGTAAGCCTTATTATGGGGACCCCCAACATGGTACCCCCAATTTTGGGAAACCCCCAAATCAAGACCTGCCTTCAAGAAATCAGAGCACACATGGTGAATGAAATCGATGATCTTTCTGGAGGCCCAGTGGATAAGCAAAAGCTCCAATGCACTGCGCCTCTCGCTCAATGACTACCTGTCCTAGATTTCTCGCGATTGAATCCTCATACACTTCCATTGAGCTGTGCTCTTAGGTATCCCTCGCGCTTCGCTTGCTCACACGCACCAGCCAGGATTCAACAAGCTAACCTCACGTCTACTACACCTACTGGTTCTTAGCAGGGAATGAGGGAATATATTCTGTGTATGTATGTACATAAATACATATATATATATACGGATTCCATAGGGAATATACTGCCGTATTTAGGCCTCTACACAGCACAGCGGCTGGGCCTGTTCGCGCCAAACGAACCGCAGAGAGGACGGGGCCACCACGAGCAAAGGCCATTCGGCCTTGCAAAGCAACAGCTCCACGACGAGCAGCTACTGGACGCTCGCACAAACAACGAAGATCCCCTAACCCTAAACCCCAAATACAGTTTCCATTTGATCTTCCATTATCCTTATATTATACCTCTATATTATACCCCTATTTTATAATATTTATAGTATATTCTGGTATATCATGAGCATATTATAGTATATTGTAGGATATTATGGGATATCATGGGTCCTGCCTCGTACTGGGCTGCCAGCAGCAAGGCCTGTGGGAAGCACTTGCTGGCAGCTTTTAATTTGCGCCTTTACAGCTTGGAGGACTGGGTTGCTGTTAGGGAAATTGGTTTAAGATACTATAATATGGGTATGTAGGGTGTAGCTATATAAGCATATATAGGGTTTAGGGCTAGGGAAAATAATTTAAGTTAGTATATTTGGGAAACCCTATTCAGCAATATACATATATGTATATATACGCAATATGGTAACTTGATGTAAGTTCCATAACAGCAACCCAGAGAAGCTCCCAAACCCGAGATGTCAATCGCCTGTAGCGTCTTACCAAGACCCATCTCGTCACCGAGAAGGACTCGGCCGCCGCGCTGCAAGCCGAACTCGACAGCCTCCTCAGATTAGGACCTTAAAGGCTAAACCCTGAACCCTAAACCCAAAACCTTAAACCCTAAACCCTAAACCCGTCATGATACGAGCCTACCGCCTGCTCTGCTCTCCCTCACTGAGGGCCCTGCTACCTGGTACGGAAGCACTGAAGAGCCCTGCAAGTTGTCAAGTTATGTATATATAGTTCCCCTTAAGTGGATAGAATATGGCTTTGGGGTACATTATGATAAGACCCCCACATACCCCATATTCTATTTACTTAAGGGGGGTTATAACACATTTATATAATCCCTACATTCTGGAGTTTCCATGTTTCCCATTCAATGGGAAATGGCATTATCCCCATATGAGCTAGAGTCAATATTTCCCCACGTAATTAATGGACCTGCGTTCCTTTTTAGCGCATATATTATTAGGGACTAGACGAAACCACAAGAGGAAACCCTGTGTCCAGCCCTAATGGCCCCTCCGTAAGCCTAATGTTGACAGTAGCTCAGATAAACCACTAAATAACCCCAGTTTTCCATGTTATTTTCCATGTTCTTTTCCATTTGATTCTCCGTTATTGGGCCTATAACCCTAAACCCTAAACCCTAAACCATGCCCACAAATCCCCAAACCCTTCAGACAGTATGTTGTGGTTTCCATTGTACGGCATGTATCCGCGAAGCCTGTGGCAGCGTCTTCAGGAATTCCTTCACCTGCGCTATCTTCCATTTTACAATGGGGTCTATATTGGAAATATACGGGAAACCATAAGGATGTGATAGTAATACTGGAAAAGAAAAAACGATGTAAGCTACGATCCTGTAAGACTTGTAAGATCTATAGCATCTTGGGGAAGCTGCTCAAACAGAATTCATCGATTCTTCATGGCCCAGCCTAGCGTTTTAGGTGAGTGCCCTCTTTTACACATTGGGGCTCGCCTACAAAAGTAAACACAAACCCGTGTGATCTCGTTCTTTCCTTGGCGAGCAAGAAGTCAGAACATGTGATAACGATTCTTGTGATCCCGTTCCTCATGTCATGCTGCCATCTGGCTCCACTTTGCCAGGGACACGTGCGCCATCTCGTACAAAGGCCGGTCCCGGATGCAAAAATCCCTGCAATAACAAGAATACTACTATTAATAGAAACAAGAATAGTAATACCACTGCGAAAAAAGACGACGACGACTACTACTCCTACTACTGCTACTATGGCAAACGCACGCTGCTTCATACTTGCAATCCCTGTGCCTTTGAGCGAGCGTCATCAGGCGAAAGCCCACCGCAGACTGGCTCTCCAGGCTTCTCGAAGCCAACAACCTACTATGATTGCTACTTTTTAATACTATTTTTATTATTGCTATTATTACTATCATTTTTAATACTATGATGATGATTAGTATTATTAATACTATTATCCCTCATGATCCCTCGTTTACTCTGCCTCTGGATGAAAAGCTACAAGCAGCTTGGGCGCAGACGCTGCATGCCCACGATGGCAATGCTGAAACTTGCAGCCCCTTTGAAGTCAATGCCTGATAGCAAGGGGGATGCGCACATGCTGGGAAGTGCGTGCCTGGAAGCTGTGCGTTTGCCACCGTTGCAGACATCCAGCATGCTTGTGCTCGGCATACTGCACATGCTGAGCTGTTTTCGCCGTAGCATTCTTGACATGCAAGCTCCAATTTCAAATGGTCCACACTGCCGATTGCGAGCAAATCCTGAGCCGCAAAAAATAGAGTTCTCCTCTCCACTAATGGCAATGGACGTAAGGCCCCTGCCAACTGCCGCAATGCTATGTGCCAACACCCGCAGCGGTAGGCAAGAAGCTGCACGGCATCGTGCTGAACATGGGTTGCTTCAACCGACTGCCTGTGACGTGAGATGAAGAATGCTCAGGCTTGCCTCCTAGAGCAGCGTCCTACAACTTGGATCCCAATACTGGAATTGAAGCCAAAATCTCAAACCTAAACTGGCAGGTGCAGCTTCCGTCTAACCGCAGAATTGCAAATCTTGCACAGGCCCTTCCCCACAACAGTTAAATCCAGGACCATGTGGGTGACAACACCCAAAAGTCCCATCACAACAGTTCTTCCAAACCCTAATCTGAGCTTGAGATCTGCTAAGCAAAGTAATACCTTCTAGAAGTCCGAGACCTCGGAAATCAAAAAATCCAATCGAGAGTTCCCAAAATGCCATACAATGCCAGCAAAAAGCATACCCATTGGGATTACATAGGGGTTGTATAGGGATAATGGAAAAGAAAATGGAAGCTACTATAGTATATTAGGGTTATATTTGGATTATAAGGCTCAAATGTTCATGATTTTCCTTGGCGGCTTCCGAAGCCCGGAACCCTGACATTTAGTAGCGAATAAAGGAATATATTCTTCAGGGATTATACTCCCTTATTCCTTACTAACAGCCGGTAAGCTCAAGAATGCTGACAACACAAGCCTCAATAACAGTAATGGTAATAGTAACAATAGCAGTAACAATATTACGAATAGTAGTTAAGATTGCTGACAGGTGCTGACAACACCCTAAACCCTACACTCTAAACCCTAAACCTTAAACCCTAAACCCTAAACCCTAGACGCCTCATCATTGTGGAGATGACCGCCAAGGCAAGCTCCCAACGGCCAGAGACACGGAGGGCCGAAGATACCCCGTTGAAGGGGAAAGCCTGGCTTCTGGAGTGACACCATGAAGGTGGGATCCTACCCCTAAACCCTAAAGCCCTAAACCCTCAAGTCCTAAACCCTAAATCCAAAACCCTAAATCCAAAACCTTAAATCCAAAACCTTAAATCCAAAACCTTAGTCCAAAACCCTAAATCCCAAACCTTAAATCCCAAAACCTAAATCCAAAACCCTAAACATCAACCCTAAACCCTCAAGCCCTAAACCCTCACCACCCACAGTGCATAGGATCCTCAACTGACTAGGACCTTTTGCAGGAAGGCTGCATTCAGCTCCAGGCGCGAGGATATCATGCGGTGCAGGAGGTCCTGGGCCAAGAAGATGCAAGTTTGTCTAACTACTTTTGTATGGAGAATGGAAAATATACTTGAAACCACTAACTACTACTTAGGGTTTAGGATTCAGGGTCAACTACTTGTGTAAGTTTTGGATTTAGGGTTCAGGTCTCAGTGCTTAGGGTTTAGGAGTTATTTTCAATTACTTGTGTGGGATTAGGATGTCATCTCAAATTTACAGATCCCATTTTCGGGCTATGATTCTTTTGGGGGGTTAAGTCCCGAATGCAGCTGCTATTGACAGTCGTCAGACTGGCACGCAATGCAGCAAGATCTGACATCAAAATGCTACCTGAACTTTCAACAGACGCCAGGATAGACTGCAAACAGCCACCGGAAAGAACATGGAACAGGGAAACTCCTGAAACACCGTGTTTCCAACGTCTTTTGCCTGTGGTTTCTGAGCTCGGGTCCAGGGCCAGCTCCCACTGTCCTCCTCGGTCACAGGCATCCATGGTTGCCACGAAGGTGTGTAGGTCGGGCTGGTGTTGCTGGATCCTCAGATGCTCATTGCTGAGACAGACTGCCAGGCGTAGTTGCTGTAGGATCAGCAGCCTTAGCAGTTGTCCTGCGACTTTGCTGTGGTAGCAGTGATGCTGCTTCGCAGCTACTACGAGCACTACTTACAGTTACCCCTCCTTCTCCTCCTTCCAGGTTTCCTCCCATTACTGCCGTTGGTTTTGTCTGAGGCTCAGGGACACGAGGACCTCAATTGCCCAGCGCCAGCGGGTGGCGCAGGCGCTGATGGCTGCGTTGAGAGCCTGAGCTCTCGTTGATGTGGAGCTTGGGGCTTAGGGTATCGATTAAGGATTCAGCTTGTTGAACTGACGGCAAACCGAAACAAACTACCAAACTAAGAAGCCATTTGCACTCTTGGACATCGCTAGATTGTCCCGTGATCTCCGTATATGACGTAGCCTCTGAAAATCCAAAAGGAAGTCCTGCATCCTCTTCTCCCTACAGTTTTCCTGCGATCTTTAGATGCACCATTTTAATCGCACTCCAAAAGAAGGATCCGCCATCTTGCAAACCCTACGTCTCCCTACGTAGGCCCTGTATAGCCCCCCCCTCATCCTCTATGCAGCAACCCAGGAGCAACCATGCTCGGCTTGAGTGACCGGGCAGGGAGCGCCTTGCGGCTTTCAAAGCTATGATAAGGAAGAAGTATAACTGCAAGAGATGCCTACTCAAAAAATTCAAAAATGGTGGAGGCTCTTACTTTCTCGAAAAAAACAGGAGGGCCCTGTTCTACTTGACCACCAACATGGAAACTTAAGTCCTTTCTGTGTGGAAGCTTCTTGTGGAGATAGTCGAGGGGTCATATGGGCACTACAGGGCAATGCAGCTTTGAAGGCTTTGATGTTGGGTCCCTTTGGGGCTAGGTAAGCATATTACGGAACACGAGCGTTGTCGACAACGGCATTTACCAGTTACTATAGTATATCACCTGGGTTTTACTTGGGCTTTTCCCTACCTAGCTGTTGTGTGTCTTTATGAGAATGACTGCTTTGCTTTGTGCATCTGCAAGAGGTAATGTCAGGGATCCAATTATTCGGATGCGTATGAATCGCTGGTTTATTCATCAGGGCCCTGTGTTAGGGGCTCACTGTGGCAGATGTTGAAATCTAACTGGAGCCCCACTTTTAATGCAAATCTACCACATATTCGTCTTGTTTTGGGAAGCTACCATGCTATCCATAAATAGGTGCCTCTCAGAGAAGTGCTGGGTTACCTAACAGACACTCCTGTCATCTTATTATTACGGTGAATAGCACTTTGTAAGTAACATATCTGAACACTTGGGTCTCTCTGATGAAAATCCTATCAGTTTGCCGGCGTATACCAGGGCCCACCTTTCGAGAAATGCCCATCATGAGCTATCACCATGAGCATCGCATACCATCACCATCAGCTCATTTCATTGCCATCATCATCAGGGTTTTCACTAAGAATGATCCATCTATGGCCCATCATTGAAATAAGCGCGCAGGGCACGCCTCCAACAAGTGGATGGATGAGGTCCACTGGAACCGATTCTGACCTCAGGTTCACCACTGTTCCGCTTTACCTGATTGCATCTTCTTTCTTCTGCCCCACTTAGTTATTTCTCCACGCTGCTAAAGTGATGAAACCCCAAAAAGAGAATCCTCGTGCCAAATCCTCGTAGGCCGGAGTGCAAGCGCCGATCACCACGATGTCGGGGACCAGCATCTGCGCCTTCGGCTGATGATAAATACAAAGGTGTTTCCAAGAATTTGCGCTGCTGCAAAATCAGGAAGACAGGAAAATATGTTGGGCTCGATGTTGGGGCCGATTTTGTAGGGAAACTGCCAGGGTCATCATCATGACCATCACAGAATAAGAATAACGATCAATCAGAACAGTAGCAACCTGCTGAAGACTGCGGTGCGTCTGCTTCACTTGATTTAGCAGTTGGCATCAACTGTCCTCAAGGGCATCAAGAAGCTGTAGGGTCAGCGGCCACTGCTCACCCTTCTCGCAGGCACTGACTGCTGCCGATAGGAACGGAACCTTAGTGCATGAAAATGCGTTGACTCCCTGAGCCAAGTGTTGGCAATGCCAAGAATGATGTAGCTGATTCACACCAACCTTCTCGCACTGTGCATCACTGCTTCAAAGCAACATCTCGACGAAAGCTCATCTTGGACGCGTCTTGCAAGAGCGCAACAGCATGATGCCACCTCAACAACAAGGAAATGAGGGCTGGTGGGTGCGGAGCTGGTTGCAGAACTATCTTGCTTCTTGCATTTTCCAAGAACAAACGTGACTAGAACAAATTCAACTCCGGTGCTTCATACAGCGCGACAAAAGGAATCCGACAATAATGAGATTTCGTGCTGCACTTGGGATAGGCCAGTGAAAATTCTTACTGAACACGGAGCCACGACTGACATTATGTATCCCATTATCTTCAACGCTCGCCAAACACCACACTCCGACTCCTAGTCCGAAATATTGCACACCATACGAAAATGAGAAGCATCTTCTTCACTACCAGACCGCACGAGAGGGGACAAGACAACGTGAGCTGCTGCGTCTCAGCACACCAAAACCTGTCCGGATGTATATCCATGCTACTTAACGACTTGTCAGCGCACAGTGGGCTGATCTCATCATGGCAGATGCCTGTTCTGCATGCAGTCTCCGGCAGGCGAAAAGACGGGGCGCTGCTGGCACAAGAAAACTCGAAAGGCCCGATAAGGAAAAGAAGGGCGTTTGAGGCAGCAACTCCTTCGCGTCACACTTTTCACATGATCAAGGCGGAACCTGTGTGGAGAAAGTAGGTGTAGTCATAGATTTGAGGCGAGGAGCATGTTTAAGGAAACAAACAGCACGTTTTTTTGCGAGGAGGAACTCGTCGAAAGCTATGAAAGCTGCAAAGAGCAGAAAAATCAGGAGCTAATGGGTCCTGGCTACATGCCCCGTTCTATCGCCAGAACGTCTTGGCTTGTGTCAATGGTGTTCCGGTTTCGGAGTCTCCTAATTACGTTTTCTTATCTTTAGCATCCAACACCTGCAGGATTGCCCAACAGCCCACAAGACAAAGGAGGGTCATCCCCAGACCCATGCTAAACCTGGAACCCCCAAGTGAAACCCCACAGTACCCCAAACATCTGAGCCCAATCTGGGCCCCAGGGCTTGCCCATCCGCTCGCAGGCAGAAATGGCCGCAGAGCAGCCTAGAAGATCCCGGAGGGGCGCCTGGGCCTTGGGTTCAGAAAGATCGAGCTTCATGGCTCACAAACGACACCAGCTCCGCCTCAGCTACCTCAAGACAACTCATCATCTTACGACTCAGAGGAGTCAGTCCCCTCTTTAAGGAAGTGGTGTCACCATTAAGATTACTGCAGAAGTTGCTCACCTCTTCTCATCGCAGCCATGTGGCAGCCAGGAACAAGGCCTTGAACCAAGTGCTTCGGCACGAAGAGATTCCTGCGTTGATCGTGATGGTGTTGGGGCGGACGAAGCACCTTCGGCAAAGCACTGCCACAACTTTCTCAACCTTGCAGCCATGTAATCTCCTCACCCTGGCATTAAGCCGCCACCCATCCACCCCTTGATATTAAATATTCCCAATACATCATAATAATGTACCATATGGGGAGTTGTCAATATTGCGGGGGTGAGGGGGCTTAATGTTATGGGGAGGGGATTACAAATGGTACACTTGAGGATCCTGCACGTGCATAACCTGCAGCATGTCGCAGGCCGCAAGCCAGAAGCTGCCTGCCACGCACGAAGCCAGGTGGGTTGTTCTCAAAATATCTCAGAATTATGGGGTATACTACGGCACCTCACATTTAGGGGTCCCAAAATGGAACCCCAAGTTTGGGAACTACCCACTTATGCAACTACCTTGAAAGACTGTAGACAAGGTTATGATTCGCATAGGCACTCTTCTCGCAGGCACTGATCGTAGACGACCACGTCACCACTGAGGGCTGCAAGCCCATGCAGGATATTGATTTTGCCAATTGCAACCTTGGCCAGAGCAGCAAGAGCCCAGAGTCCTAGAGCATGCTGAAGCCGCAAGAAAGCAGGAGTCCTGATCATCCCCCTAAACCCTAAACCCTATTCCCTTCTCCGGCAGTCTGGGAAGCTGGCGACTCTTGCCAGGCACCTCGCATTGCGCAGGCGCCAAGCCCGGCATTCATGGCGACGACCTTGCAGCCGTGATGTGCAAGAAGGAGCTTTACACATCTTTATACCTTTCGAAACTTTGTCTCAGGCTCCAGCATCTGTCTCCAGCCCAGGCGTAGCCTGTAACTCGCTTAGGAGACGAAGAGCGATCTTCAGCTTGCCTAGCAGGCAAGGCTTCGCAACCACCAGAAAAACGCACCTGAAACTACCATCAGCGCAGCCGCCTGCTTTTGCACAGCAGCTGATGCATTGTGTGTAGGCAATCGGACTGGGCAGAACGTCGGAATCCCATATCCTTCGTTTGCGCAGGAGTTGCATAGGCTACCAAGGCTACAGCCTGCCGCCATCTGCCACCAAGTCTCTCTGCCAACGTCTGCAGGGCACCAGCCCAGTTCGTCCATGCACTCCTTGCTCTCTGCTTGCACCTGTGAGTTGCCCTATCTCAGACAAAGCACAGGAAGACCGTTTGGAGTTTAGTCGCCAGCCTGCAAGCGCTGCTGACCATGGCAGCGGCAATGTAAGGCAACCGCAAACGACATGAATCCACGGGGCTATTCAGACTTCTAACGCATGATCCACTCGAGCCTTTTGCCACATCATGTTAAAAGCGCTGTTGACCAACCAAACCGATCAAGCCATGCGATGTACCACGCACCTGCCTCCAACCGCTCAAGCGTGCTCTTGTATAGGGCCGTTCGGAAGGAGACCTCTCCCATGCAATACAGCAACGCCCTTCCAAGTCATCTGCCTGGTTGCCTCTCCATCTTCACGCTTGGCCGCGCTGGGCCAGGACGCGACCTGACTGCAAATGCACTGCAACCTTTCTCTTTCATCAGAACTGCTGCTCCGTATGTACCTGACGTACCTATGACGTTGACTCCCCTCGTAACTCTCCGAGGCAGTGGCTTCTGCCAACAAGTCAGGTGGCCAGCGCTGGCATTTTGCCACAAAGGTCAGCGAGGTCCAAGGCTTGGGACAGAACTCAAGCCTTTGACAAAGACCACTGCATGTCGACAGAGGCTGATTTCTCACGAAGTACTTGGCAACGGGCTGGACATGAACGCCTGCATACATGGGCCTGAGGCAGCTGGCTGTAAGTCTTGTAACTTGTAAGTATTGTGGTTTGTGTGGGTTGCGGTTGAGGCCTCATGGCCGGGATGCGGTATGGTCTACACTAGCTCAGCACTACCACCGGGACGTGGAGGTGTTGGATGTGGCTTTGCCAAGTTCTTGGGCCCAGCCTCGCAGAAGCCGTACCAACAGAGGCGTTCGGCGGGGGCAGGCAATGTGGGGCATGTGGGGCATTGCTTCCGGCACTGGCAACAAAGTTCGCAGAAGCCGGACAACTCCCCGCGCTCCTGGCCAGCTCCAGGATTGCCGGAGAACATGCCATTCCGAGCGCCCCCCCCGCCTTGCAGAAGCATTGTGGCCGGG